GTGAAATGTAGGATTAAATCGGTATTCTTCTAAAAACTGTAAATCGACGTACGGTTTTTTTTTAAATATTATAAATGGCCTGAAGAGACGTTAAAAGTGTGTAAGTATTCAATTAAAGAATTTAGGACGAGGTAGTATCACGTTACCTAGCCTCGAATGCATCAATTGTCTTAATTGATCACTTCGAAATTTCATGTATTTTCAGCAGGGAAGAATGATTTTTGATATTTTATGGACGCAGATACATCTGTTAATTTGGTCGAGTGAAATCCCGAACGATTGACGGATGTAATAATATTTAATGATGGATGATAGTGATCAGGTAGAAATAAAAAAAATGAATGATCGTGATTTTGATGGCGTTTCATTCCGATTTCCTTATCGAAGCAAGTTTTCGCGCGTGATTCACTGAAGTGTCGGAATATCGCGGAATGAAACGGGCATCGCAAAAATGATCCGGTGAATTCGACGCGTCGTGAGTTACGGTTCGACGTGAAACGTAGAAATTTAATGTATTCATAATCGTCGGATAACGAACAATTTATTCATGAAATATGTCAGTTCCGTTAGCATGGTTATGAAATCATAACGTTTGTAAAAGCAATACGTCGGTCCTCCGTACAAATATCAGGTGTCATTTCCGTATGAATAATTCGGCCTGCGCTCGTTTGGCTTTCAGCCACTTATGACAGAAAAATTAACAAATTATCGATTAAATCACCGGCGAAACTTTATCGCTTGCCCCGACGAGTTCATCGTAATTTTCCTCGCGCGTTTATTTACTATTGATTGTTTCCGTTTAGATCAATGACCGTGTATACCATAAATTCAATTTGCTTCTTTATACAACTATTCATACATCACACATTATTTATCGATCTTGTAGCATTAACTCTTTGCGAATTGATAAAATATAATGAAATTAATAACGTACCGTTATTCTTTACTGCGTGTTTTCAGAATGCTCCACTTGTTGTGGTCCACATTTTCATATAAAACAAGATATTTCACAACAGAAGAATAATATAAACATAAAAAGGAAAACGCGAGAGAAGAAATAAAAATGGATCATCGCCGTTAACGAAACCCGAACGAATTTGTTCGCTGAAACCGTACACCAATTTGCCCATTACCGAGAATTCGTAATCGCGTTTCGCAAAATTTACTGTTCGGAGCAGCGCGATAAATCTCGTAAAACTCGTTTGATCTTTATCTAATATTTCCCGCGGGATGTTAATTAGCCTATGGAGGTCCGAATGCATAAACGGCCGGCCGTTTCCGTCCTGTTTACGTTTTAAACAATATTCGGCCGTAATAACGTCGCCGCTTTTCAACGGAATCGATTCGCTGCGGGCCTGGGAACACCTCTTTGCTTATCGGGATTGGCGAAAACGATGATGACACGTTAAAAATGCTCGCGCCAACCTCCACGCTCTAGATAGTAATTTCCGGGAAAGTCGTAACTTATTTGCCTGGCCTCGGCGCCGGGGAGCCGATTTCCAAGCAGCTGGGGCGAAAATACGTTTAAAATATCTGAGAGGGTTACGCGAAGATTTAGGGGTGCGACTGGGCTGCAGAATAACACCAGAATGCAGCGTGTACGAGTTTACATAATATTGCTTAAATACGGGGATCCCTTTCACCGAGGAAATCAGTTAAAAACGGTATTGGTTACCCTTTCAAATAGTTATGCTATCAATCATCAGACTCGCAGAACGTACAAGTGGAACGCGAAGATCAGCTCGAAACTCACGGAAGAACGAGCTGTTGCAATATTCAATGTTACCAGGAAATCAACAAATCTGATACTGTCCATTTACTTCGATGCTTCAATTACTTTTAGAGGGACTATTCTTGTGATTAATAGTATGTTAACATTGTTCCTATAAAAATCGATCGTCGATTTGAACCTTAGAAATGGTTTTAAGAATAGCAATTACGTTTTAAAAATACACAATTAACCGTTTGAATCACAAGCGCGATTCTCTGTTACACTGCCTAAAAAATAATTCTTAAACAATTGTATTAATCGTTATATAAATTTTTCTGTTAATACCTTCGGAGAGGAATTATTAACCGTCTGAGTGGCAAGCGGCGCAATGGCGCTTCGTTACACTGTCTAAAAGTGCCAGTCTATCGACTCGTAGAATCAAATTAAGATTATTTATTTCCTTTCCTTCTAATTATTAATTTTTATTCTTGTTATTATCCGCCTAAGACTGAAAACATGTAACGATCGAGCTATTTAAAATTTTTTTTGTATAAATAGAAAAGCGTCATTCAGTTTTTGAATTGAAACGAAAGATGGGCGACGCTTGGCATTTTTCGATTAAGTTTTTGTAAAAACCGGCAGGACTTAAACGGTTAAAAAAGAAATCGACATAAACGTTTACAATGAATAATACTATAAATAATATTTATAACATTCAGTACATATGAAATTAACGCGACACGCGAACCCAGTGTTAGAGACGTTCATCTACAAATGGCCAGATATCCTCCAGACGAATCATTTCCTGAAACTCGTCTGTACAGTTACCGCTTCAAACTGAAGCGTACAAAAATATTTTTCCGCTGCCAGCGTCTGGAAGCGCCAGACGCGATGAAATAAGCGTGCGTGCCGCCGCTCACCAGGCATCCCTTCGACGCCACGTTAATTGCTCGAGCTTTGCGAGGCGAGCTGGGGCGGAATAAAAGAGAATACCGCGTACACGTCTCTTGGTTCATCCCTTCGGAGGATTCTTACGAGACACGTAGTGTCCGCCGACGATTTTTCCCCCGTGTCCTTTTTCCTGTGTTTCCTTTTTCGCCGATCCGTTCCACTTTAACGCCACGGCAGCCCCTTTGATCTCGTCCACCACCGCGAATCCATTTATATCGTCGCGATCCGACGATCGAGGGAGCAAACCGGCGGCGTCGTGCTATCTCCGCTCGAATATAAATAATTCATCGCGCGCCGCGCTCGCCTCTGCTTGTAATTCGGATCCCGGCGGGGATTTGTAATTAGGATTTCGAGAGATTCTCGTGATTTCGATACACGCTTGCCGCTTCCCGCGGAAAAACGTCGCGCGGCTTTGTTGGTCGAGTTACAGGAACGAATTCGACGGTTCGATGTATTTTCTGGACAGAATTCATTGATCGGTTAACACTAAACCTACCGGACGTGTCAAAATGGACTGTTTCTGATTTATTCGTTTTGCAATTGTTAAAAAGGTGACTGATGTTTCTCTGAGAAATTATTAAAGGAATTGATTTAGGAATAGACAAATTGAATTGTGAATCGATAGTCTTGATGCACCTTTGAAGTTTCTGTAGAGGATTTTCGAAAAGTCAATTTAACTGCTCAGTTTTAGTGTCAACGGTGTTGTTCGAGCATTTACGACCGTAATAGTTGTTCGGTTTAGTATTGAGGATCATAAAGATTAATACTCCTTATCAAGTTTTGCATAGTATAATTAGACGTGAAACGAATATTAAAATAGAGTATGTGTATGAGATAAAGTATGTGAATTTTATGACGCCAGTTACAGGGAAAGATAGATGGAAAATGAAATTTAGAGGTATAAGTACTTTTTTTTGGGTCGAACTTACGATACGCTTTTTCATTAAAATTTATTTGCTCTTTATCTAATTATGAAATGTTACGTATACAGGAATATCTGAGATAAGTATTTTCACTATTTACGTAAACGAGTTTACCAACTAGCGTACTCTTAAGAGTCTCCTCCAAAATCGGGGAAGCGTTTTTATGGAATAAGCAAGACGTCGAGTATTCATCTTCGGCATATGAACGCAACGAAGCGATTTCTTTGGGGCGAAACTGTGGAAAACGTGTATTCGTAAAGCGAACGCTTACGTTTAGATGAGAAATGGTTTCCTTGATCAACTATGGTATTCCGTTCCTCTCTCGAGTATAGATTTGATGCATTTATAATACACATGATTAAAACCGAATATAAACAGAGGTTTAATAAAATTGAATGAAGTTCCCGGTATATTTGAAGCCATACGGAATTACTGGAATAAATAAAATTTTGTTTAATTATGCCCACCCAACTTCAAACGTTTGCATTTATATTTGTATGAAATTAATCCGTTGGTAGTGAATAACCATTGATCGAAGCGACGCGTTATGTGAACACTCCTACTTGAATAATCGCGTCCCATCGTGTTAAGACATTTAAATAATATTTGCACGGTGGGCAATGCAACGCGAACGTGTTTTAACGAGTGATACCTTCATGCAGATCACAGATCGATTATCCTGTCGGCAGCGCCGTCGCCAATAGACTATTAAACTAAACACTGCCATACTTTCTTGCACGCAACGCTGTTACACATCTCGCTGACATGAATATTTTATAATCGAGTGACACATCGCGATGCTAATCGAATTGGAATAGCTGTTGTAATTGTAACGTTCTTTGTTCCCTCGTACGGTGCGCCTGATAATAGAGTAATTAAGTACACCTGGTAACGTATAACAAAATAATTCAATACAAACAGTCACGTAAGGAACAAGTAAATCTCTCCTATTGTTACGAATAGTTTCAAGCTAAAGAAGTAAAGAAAGCTTGCTCTAACATCACCTACACTGATATCGTATTATCCGCTTTTATTCGGTCGAATTGGATCAGCCAAAAAAGAAGTCAGTTAAAAAAATCGTATAATATTTAAAACGAGTAGAGAAATAATTACAGAAAAACTCCTGTTAATAAAGAAACTGAACGTTTTTTAAAATAACTACAGAAATAATAACTGATAAACAGGTCGATAAGAAAAACTGAAAATTTCTTAAATTAACCAGAAAAACGATAATAAATGAAAAATATTCTCGGTAAGAAGAGACTTGAACGTTTCCTAAAATAATCACAGAACACGGTGACAACTTAAACGCGACGTGTCCGTGGTGTCATCCGATCGTTCGGCTCGGCGCAACGACCATTGCCATTGTGACGTGTTTTCACGCAGTGCCATCGACCTGCGGCTTTTTTCCACAGGTCGCCTAAAACGCACGGGGCGTGCCGCCCGCAACCTGACCATCGGCTGGGGCCTGCATCGATGATCACCATCAACGGCATCGATTACCACGACCCACGACCACGACTGCGACTACGACGATCCGGTTGAATCTTCTCGCTGCAGATGTTTCGCTTGAACGGTACACGGTAAAGCCTGCCCGCTCGCCGTCAGGAAGTAAAAAATGTCCAAGAAAGAAATCGTCGGGAACGGACGAGCATAAACACCGACGGAAAGTTCGCGACGGAGGGGCGCGATTCTCGGGAAAATAAAAAGGAAACGAGGACACTTCGAACCAGTTCGAATGTATCACTGAATATTGGATCGTGTTAAAATTCAAACGAAACGGAAGATTCATGTAAATTGAAACTTTGGAAATTCTTCGAGGTCTTCGAATACTTCACACTTTCGTAGTATTATCTCGTTCGTAGTAATCCCAAGAACGAGAACCGATCGCGTGGTATCCCTGTTCTTGCGCCGGAGGTGAAATCAGTAGTCGTCGCGACAGCGCTGCATTCTTGTTGATCCAGCGATGTAACGATTAACAATCGCTGATAAACAGGAACGAAACGAGCAACGGTTACTGAAAGCGATTCGTCGCGGAATAATGCACGTGCGCGCGATTGAAATTGTATTGCCAGGCCGGAACGGGAAACATTTGCCGCGCCGGTGCGCTAGAAAGTCTGAAATATTCAACGAAGAAAAGTGTCTAATATTCTGAAAGCTTGAAGCGCGCAGAGAACCTCCGGGGACTTTCGAAAGTTTGCAACCCCGTAATATTCAAATATTGCGAGACGGATAACTTTCCTGTGTTTTGTCGCTAAACTGCGGATATACCACGTTCACGGTGTACTTCTATGTCGAAAAATAAAATTACTTCAATCCCAGTGATACTCGATGTTAGCACGTTGCATACTGGTAACGAGAAATCTCGTTTTATATAAAAACACTTAGCTATATAACTTTACTAATTGCCACAGCAAGAAATATTAAATTTGATTAGAACCAATTCTCCATTTAAACTGTATTACATAACAATATGATATTCGAGTCTTTTTATAGATAGTGATATAAGTTGATCCACTGAAAATCACTATTTTCACTATTCAATTTCCTAATTAGCCGGTACGCAATGCGTTAATATTAATTGACTTTCAATCCGACAAACCGACAAAGAAATTCGACGGTTCCATCTCTGATTCGCAGATTTTAGTCCACAAAGTCTTCGAATTGCGCCGATATCCGCAGTTTAATCGTCTCACGGATCAACGGATCCCATTCGAATGAAATTGCCGCCCTTTCTGAATCGATGAATCATATGTTCGTTAAATAATCCTGAATCTCGCGTCGGGGATAATCGAAAATTACCTTCCCACCGGGAATCGATCGCCGTCGATTATTTTTCACCGTGTTCCCTCGGTTCCGCGGTTTCGGTTTCGAAAACAGCCTAGCCGTTCCGCCGTCGCTTCCGGTCTCCCTTCCCAGGGCATTCATACCGGCCGGAAGTATCTCGTTTTCCCAACCGGATGCCGCGGAACCCGCTGAATCGCACCTGACCACTTCCTGGCTGCGCGACCAGTGGCCTCGCGTCCTGCAGGTCAGCGAGCTCAACCCTTAACCTCTTGCGCTGCAAAGGAATTCAGAGATTCGCTGAAGTCTTGCGAGAAGAATTTTGTTCTTATCTATTCTACGCTGATATGTACACTAATCTCGTCTGTTACCTTAAAATCGTCTATTAACATTGAACGAGTCAATTTGATTCATATTGAATTTTATAAACATTATTTGGTAAATGTTTGGGTGGATCTCGATTGATGCAGTTGTATAATTATGTGCCCTAATTATCTACATTAAAATCTCTAATTTCCAAGATCTAAATGAACGAGTATCTTTCTGAAAATGATAGAGCAAACTGTATAGTAAATTTCCGTAAATCTAGTGTTCACAGTTTTCTATAGAATGATACATTTGAACTCTTTGTACTCGGACGTCTTTCGCTAGAAATATTCAATAGATTCAAATGAATTATAGACAACGTCCTTCGAAACGAAATGAATGAGGGAATATACGTAGGTTAACACATTGTACGCCGGCTAAATTTCAGCTACTGGAAACGCGAACGTCGGTGATTATATTAATATATTTTGAAACATCAATCAAACCGAAACTTCTAGCTTACGAAGAAGAATAAGGAATTCGATCTTGTAATTTTACTTTGGATTTATGGTATACATATCTAAAATGTTACATTGATGTGGGACTACCAATTAAACGAATAAAAACTCGCATTATCACGGAGCCGGCGCGCAATGTGTTAAGAAATAAAGTTATTATCTCAATATTTCGCATATTTAGGGATTACAAGGAGCTTAATATTATTTGTAAGATTTTATGATTTTGGTATATCGAATCGAGTGCAAAGAGTAAAAACAATCTAGTATGTTTAACGCAACAAGACTATCGATGTCTAGAAAACATCGTTGACAACGTTGGAGCAAAAACATCCCGGCATACGTGGCACGTCTTTCCAGCGCAAAAGGTTAAAGGACCACAAAGAAAACTGACGTGAAAGACTGATAGTGTCTAACGGACTCCTTAAATAAAAAATGCTTAAGAACAAAGTGTTTATATAATTTATTATTTTCTCTTGGTTACACTCATTAGTTTAGTCTACACATTAAAGTCTGTTCGATCTTTCATTCGTTCTAACTATTTGAATTTCAATGATAATTTGAATTTAAGAATATTATAGAAAACTTGTTATCAGTCTACGTGTTCATATGTTTTTTAACAACGTTTTAAATATATAGATAAGTTGAGGAATAAAGTGGGGTGATTATATAGTAGGTCTTTTAAAGCACCATGCATTAAACAACAGTTTTAATGACCGGTAAAAAATTTTTGACAGACGTAAATGTGAAAACGAGTCCATTAGACTTTGTGGTCTTTTTAAAGGGTTAAACGCCGCCCTAAGATTCCTCATCTTTTATTTTCTTTCCTATTCTCACTTGTCTCGCCCCGAATTTCGTTCGACCTAGATCCACCGGCAAATCGCGTGCCACTTTTTATTCCAGCTGGAAAAGATTCGGTGGGTAAGATTGACCTCGTTTACCTCGCACTGGTTTTCAATCATTTTGTTCCACTTTAGAAATTAGTTGCCTTTGGACTGAGAGCAACTGTAAGTTTCACAGTTATACGATGATTATTCAGTAATTTTTTAATGGTATGAAGATGATCTTTTCGTCATTCTACTTGATGGAAACGGTGGGGCGTACTTTTGAATGCTTTAATTATCATTTTGTAAGTATTTATACAGAGCATATGACGTTGAATTCGCATATATTTTTTAAATGTTTTAATGACACGGTAAACGGGATTCTTTCAGCTTTAGTTTACGAATGTAGGTTCTTAGAAGGCAAACATCAAGTTCCGTTAATTATTAGAAATATTCAAAGTATTTCACTTTTAATATCGAAACGTGTACAATTAATGTATCGATGTATATCGTGAATTTTCATCCGATTTTATATTGCGGTAGTCGACGAAGCTTTCCTTCAGTTCATTTCTTTCATCAAGTTTCTTGAGTATTCCAAATATTTCACTTTTAATATTGAAACGTGTACAATTAATGTTTCCATGTATATCGTGAATTTTCATTTGATTATATTTTTGCAGTAGTCGTCGATGAAAATTTCCCAGTCGAGAATCGAAAATTTTCAGCGGGCGTCATTACGGGTACCGAGTAAAGCGCTCTCTCTAATTTCTCAACACTTGTTTTATGCAAAACGAAGGGGAGGGGGGATCGATACGTTCACCGTAAAATCAGTTTCCGAGATAGTTTCCTCCGCACGAGGGGACGTCGACGTTCACGATTGATTTACGTCATTCAAGCGCAAACGAATCGCTCTCGTTCGCTGGATGCGATTATTTTCCTCGTTAATCGCGTTTCTATCGCTTCGGCTCGACGTTAAAAAATGCTTGTCTCTTGGAAACGGGGGAAGATTTAAGGGACTTTCGGTCTTGAATCACGTCTTCATCTGAAATCAATGTATTTCGGTCGTAACGCGCATCGCTGCAAAACTACGTCGATCGCGAACGGATTTCAAATATCTATTCACATTCAACATTTAAAAAAGGATACACTGAAAATCTGAAAAAAAGAATTCTCGTATAAAACATTCATCTTCACAATAAATTCGCAATCTACATTTCATACTACAACTAAAAACATCAAATTTCAAATCGCTGTTCACGCTCAACAGCAAAAGAAGAATATTAAAAACCTGAAACAAAGGAATTCTCACATGAAACATCTATTTCCACTTCGTTTTAATTAATTTCTATATAGTATGTTAACTCTTTGCGGAACTTTGCGAACAGCAAGAGACTAGCACGTAGTTTCTTCCTTTCTATTATTTAACACTAAAACTACCGAGCAATTAAATTGACTTCTCGAAATTCCTCTATAGAAACTTCAAAAGTACATCTATTGAAACTTTAATTAACTCATCATTCAGTTTGCGTATTGCTACGTCATTCTTCAATAGTTCCTCAGAGAAACATCTGACAATTACCTTAATACTTCCAAAGAAAAGAAATCAAGAATAGATCATTTACTCGTTCGGTAGTTTTACTATCAAACAACTGACATACACAATTCAGCCTCATCCAATGAAAATTTTACAAAATCCCAAAGAATTTTCGTCCGCAAAGTGTTGATAATCAATGTCACAAATCGTCATTTCATGTCACTTGTCACCGTGCAAGCTAACCAATGCATACACAAGGCAACGCTTTATTTCCTTGACAAGTTCCACGGAACCAGTAGGAACATATCGTTCCAAGCGTCGAACAGTTCGAGGGCAGGAAGAATGTCTTTCTCGATGAACTTCTATGTCTGCCCCGCCCACTGTCATCGAACCACGTGACACGGGTATTACGGTGTCACGGGTGGGACTGGTTTAAACGAATCTTTCGGCGACAATAACCGCTCTGAGCCTCGTTCAGATACCCCCTGAAATATTATTTTTACCCGGCGTCGCCGTGGGCGGCCATTCAAGGAACGGCTGACCAGGAGTCTTTCGCGCGGTCGCAAGTCGCATATTGTCTGTAACCAAGGGAGTGTGTTGTTAGCGGATGGGGCCGGGCGAACGGGGTACGGGGGAGGACGGGGAAAGAATGTGGGTGATATAGACCGAATCGTTTCTGTCGCCTTTGTCGCTCGGTGGCGATCATCTCCGCACTAAAGACACTGTGATAGCTAGTGATGGCGGCGAACAGCGTATTGAAACCCGATGGCACAAGGTTTCCACATTTTTACTGGGAAAGCATCAAAGAACTTGAAATCGGGCCAGTAATTTATGTTGTAAGATATATTACATTTCACTGTGGATTCCTTCATATTTTTACTCGTTTCGAGTTCGTTTCGTCTGAGAATATCCTTGGTTTTATTGTACTGGCATCGACGAGCTTGAAATTGGGGTAGTAATTTGTAGAATAAGACATGTTGTGTTTCACTGTGAATTTTTTGATGTTTTGACTCGTTTTGAGATAACTTCCTCCGAGTATCTTTGGTTTTACTGCATCGACGAGCTCGAAATTGGGGTATTAATTTATAAAATAAGACATATTATGTGTCACTGTGGAATCTCCGAAGTTTTTACACGTTCTAAGTGAATTTCATCTAAAAGTAAGTCCTTATTTTTAATTGTACATTATATTAGTGAGATTTGCTGAATTTTTGTATTTTTTATTCGTAACAATAATCCTCGGTAGAAACAATGACGTATTACTGGTATGTGATTAAATGACAGTTTATAATACGCGTCACCCTGTATAATTGAATGCGACGCCAACAGGTTATGCGCATCACAGTTAAATTACCTGCAGATTAATTTCTTTCTCGGTCGGTAAACTTTGATACAATTACATTCGCGGAGTACTCAAATGGAAATTGCCTGATCAATACGCGAGGGTTGAAATAATTTTATCGTAAAAGGATATACAGCTCGAGCAGTGTATTTACAAACGGAAATGCGTGAAATTTCATTGGGTGCCTCGCTGCAGCCGCATACCCGTTAAAAGCGGGAAGCGTGGAAAGTGATTGAGATTGTGCGAGCGAGATATGAATATCATCGTGCCATCCTATGTGAAGCACCTGATGTACGATCTGCCGCGGCAAGCTTTCCACGTGCTCATATTCCGTTTTGCCGTGTACGTACTCGGTCGCGCGCAAAGATCCGTTGGAAAAGGAAATTATCTTCGGCCAGGAATACAGCTGGCAGTCGTGATTCTTTCGTTCACTGCTGATTATTTCTTGAAATATTCGTGTAAATTTCATCTCGTATCGTTCGAAGCACTTAAGAAATATAAGCAATTGTTCCTAAGGAGACTAAAAGAATTTAAGAAATTAGAGAAACTTACGAAATTAACACGTTGAATGCTATGGGGGTCACCAGTGAATTCAATTAAACGACGATTATTTGGAAACATTTCTGTATTATATATAATTCTACCTAATGTGATGACTGAATAATAATAATCTAACTTGAATAGTAATCCAATTCAATCAAATGATTTAATTATATATTTTTTCCGTTTTGTGTATTTCTCTATAGAATCGTATGGTATTCAACGTGTTAATAAGGAAATCAAAGAGATTAAAGAAATTCAAGAAATTTAAAAAATTGAAAGAATTAGAGAAATCGAAGAGAGTAAAAAACTTAAAAAAGGTTAACATGTTATTTCAATAGAATTGTGCTGATTCGCTTGATGAGTCAATAAATCATCAGCGTTCTGCAGCACATTACTCGAGTATTCAATAAAAGAAATTTCGTTCCCCTGGAATTTCAGTGGAAACGAAAGAATTAGGTTAATGGACTGGACTAATTTATCCGGATTCAATTCTTATTTTAATAATCGCCTTCCACCATCAGTGCTGGCGATATAGCGTGGTCGATGGCTTCGAGGGTACAAGAAATCCACTTTATTACACTATGATATTAATGTACTACGAGACATGCTCTAATGATAGGTAAGCGTGATGCGCTCGGAGGAAAGTTGGACTCGAGAAAGACAGCTGGAGTTCCACGTAAATCAGCCGTGTGCCTGATCGAACTTTGATTACGTTGTCGTAGTGTATATGTCAATGTGTAGACGTTGGATAACGAGTATATGTTCTGTGTATGATGAATAGTTTGTATGTGTAGCTTTAGATGTATATGAATTTCATGGAATCTTGTATCGTAACAGTAAGCTCTTGATCGGAGATCAAGCGAAAGCAAAATTTATAATTTATTCTTCGTAAGATAATTAAAAATTGTATTCAGTTTTTAATATAAGTAAAGGGATATCTATTATTCGCAAGTTTGAGACGAAATTTGTAATAAGATTAAGCTAATAAGGATTTATTTGACTTCATTCATGAAAAGATCAGAGACTTATCTCTGTTCACTAGTAGATTTTGCAGTAATGGATCAGACATGGATAAATGAAAAATGAGAGTCTACAGTTATTCTTGATGAAATGATAATTAAATACTGCTTAACATTTGTGATTCTGTCGAATTCAATTTAAAAGAATAATATTTCGTGTTTATTAGTGGAGAACACCGAGCGTACCTCACACAATCAGCCCTAGTCGGATCTGGGTCAGACCTAACTCTCAGGCCACTAATCATGGCGAACCAATATTTGAATACCATTATTTTCTGCGGAAGGTACAAATGCTCGATTCCCAAGAAAATTATTGGGTTAAGACGAATCAACATCCTGGCAGCATGGTTTACTTGCACACAGATTCCGATGTAGTCAGTATTTGTATTTTATGTCTTCTGTTCTACTTACGGTTAAAGGGCCTATTGAACGAAATGTTTGTAATCTATGATACATTAGTTATTTTCACTTAGCCTCGAGTTCATTTAACAGGCTGACTGTCACGAGAATTTCGAACGTTTTGTGTAACAATACAGACTCTTTCATAACAACGACAAATGGTATTAGAAGTAATTATTAATGACTTTGTATCACAATACATGTATTACACTATTATCTAGCTATTTGTGTTGCTAAGTATTTTCATTTGACCTCAGTTTTCTTATTGTAAATGTATTTAACCCTTTACACTCGAAAGGCGACTCAGTCGCCATTTGCCTCGACATAAGAGAATTATAAAGTTTAATATTCAATATCAAAGTTCATATGATGTAATTACAAATAAAATATTGAAACAGAATAATTCTATCTATCTATATATACATATATGCACACACTGCAGCTCATGAAAGTATGGACACTTGAGAATTAAAAGAAAAAGTAAATACAAAAATTTCTTAATACAAAATAATTTTATTTTTAGTCAGTTACTTAATGGATAAACATAAAATTAACGAATAATACATAAATAATGAAATAACATTCAAACAGAAAGTCCACGATATAACTTTTGCAAAGGCGAGACGTGTGTTTAGTGTCGTTGTCTTGCATAATAACGAAAGACCGACTGATTAATCTTAAGCCTGATGGTATTGCATTATCGATTAATATCTTTTTATAATCTTCTTTTTTCGTAATCCCATCAATTTTTATTAAATCGCCTATACCACCAAATGAAAAACATCCCCACACTAAAACGGAACCACCTCCGTGTTTTATTGTGGGTACAACACAGTCTGGGAGCATTTTTTCTGCCTTGGAACGCCATACAAAAACCCTTCGCTTTTGGCCAAAGCTTCAAATTTGGATTCGTCAGTCCAGAATACATTTTTCCATTGATCTTCTGTCCAATCACGATGGTCCTTTGTCCATTGAAGTCGTTTCAACCGATTTCCACATCGTATCAATGGTTTCCTTTATCGCTATGCGACCATGAAGATCAGCCTCCTGAAGACGGCGTTTAACTGTACTAACGGAAATCGGTTTGTCACGACCCTGATTGAAATCCGCAGTAATTTTAGGAGCCGTCATTTTTCTATTTCGCTTACTCATAAGCATAATCTGTCTGTCGTCAGCGTTAGAAGTTGATCTAGAAGGACCAGGCAGAATACGGTCTTGGAGACTCTCAGTGTCTTTATAGCGACGAACAGTCAGATGGACAGTTGATTTACAAATTTTCAATTTTTCACCAATGTTACGAACTGAATATCCTTCTCGATGAAGTGTAACGATGGCCGAACGTGTTTGCACACTTAGGGGTTTCCCACAAACCATTTTGTTTATTAAAACAGTTTTAAGGGGCGTTTTACAAAAACTTTTACGGAACGTTTTAACTTACGAGAGTCTAATACTAGAGTGAAATATTTAATACGGATTTCTTGCAATGTAAACAGTCCTTCTACTACTATGTACAGTGCGAAGTGTCAAGTAAACAAATAGCGAAGGACGAACGGCCTCCAAATAATAACGAAGACGCAAACTATTTTCTTTCGGTTGGATTCGAACGTAAGATAAGGAGAGAAAAAAGTTTTTTTTGGAATAAATATACATATGTAGATGAAAATGGGATACTAGTAACATATTATATGATAAATAGATAGAGAGATGGCGATATAAACATATTTTATACAAATCATAAATAATTATGTATCAAAAAAACTTTTTAACGAAGTGTCCATACTTCCATGAGTGGTGCATATATATATATATATATATATATATTGTTTATATCTATGTTAGTCATAAAAGGTACCATTAATGTTTCATTAGAAAATGACGAATATATCCAGAAAATTTTCGAGTGCAAATCAATTTTTAAACTCAGGCCACCGGTGACTATGGCAGTCAGCGTGTTAATCGAGAAAGAAAAGTCCACAGAATATCATGTATTTTTCTCACTCGCGAGCTGTCGACGTATCATTTCGTAACAGATGAAAGGCACGCTTCGAATAAACAAATTAAGAGAGAAGACGATTTAATAATTTCCCTTGTATCAACGTCTACAACTTCACGAGCACCTGTACCAATACGACCGCTTAGTACTGGACGTATAATCGTCGCGTGAAAAAGCTGTCATCGCTAGCAAATCACCTGTCCGAGATCGTTGAATGATATCCGAGCCCAGACAGGTTGCTTCTCGATTTCAATTTGACCAAACTTTTATCCGTGCACTTGTGACATGATCGAGGAAATTCATTCTCTCACGATACCGTCATTCTCGATCATTCCTCGCAATAATATTCATTAAGGCACCAACGATACATTTCTCTAATTAACCCCCTGCCATACAATACCGAGTCGGACTCGTGAGAAAATTCTTAAAAAGAAGTTAGCAAAATTAAATGTCATTCAACTATTTTCAGTTCAGAATGAATTCTCGTGTTTTATTATTAATTGTTATGTTCTGAAGCGAAGGTGGATATAAATGAATTCAGACTTCTTTGTTTTTTAATAAATTATCAGTGACAAAGTTATCCTACCTAGCACAGTTATGAAAGAAATCTTAGGACAAGGGGTTAACACTTTCACACTAGGTTTACGGAACCCCATAGCTTGACGTATGTGGAATTTTATAAACATTATTTGACAAATCGTTTATGATCATTTTATCAATATTTGAACCTATGATTTTCAACATCTACATAAACGAACATCAATTTTTGAACAATAAAACATGTACAATAAATGTCCGTAAACTTATTGTTAATGTTCGCTCAATTCTGTGAGATCCAATTAGATTAGGTGTAAAATAAATGATCCACTGTTTTGATGAATTAATATTCCTTATCAAAGAAGCCATCAACAGTGCTCTCATGTTTCCATTCTGAAGACAAAAAGAAGCAGATTTTGTCTACGGTACTAATCAACCAGAAGAATAGTGGATTATTTATTAGTACACCTAGTACATACTCTAACATTGGAAGCCGATGATCAAATCATTTTATTACTATATAAGCCTACTATTAATGAAACAGACAACGGTTCCTAATTGTTACATTCAAGAAAGCGTACTAGCAGTATGCCAGCTTTACCTATTTATTTGAAATTCATAGACGCGATGTCTTCAGTTCGTAGGTATCTAAAGCTTGAACACTAAAAGCTGCAATATTATATTATCAATATTTCAAACATGCAAAAAACAGTACACCACACAGATTTTTCGTAATTGAAAATGAGAAAGTATGCGTCACCGGCTTCTAAGCGTTGGAAATCAAAAGACAGCGTTACATTGATTCATGGATAAAACCGATCAACCCACGAGATCGCTTTGCACGTACATATTGTCTTCATTGTCGTTACCGATACTTCGTCACTTGTCACGTGTGGGGTGAACCTGAATGTGAGAGAACGAAACAGTTGTTGACGAGAGAAGAATGAAGTCGAGCGAATGACGCGTGTCTCTAGCGCGAGAGATGTACAGAACGTCTAACGAGCGAGACTAATTATTATCGATCGAAACGACAGTAAACGATTGTAATTAATTCGTGAAGCTTTCGCGCCGAATTTCTCGGTCCACGCGTTTTTCTTGTAATCGTATCCGCACCGAAACACAATTACGTGCAAGCCACGCTCACCAATCGGAAACCTTGCTGCCTAGCC